CCAAGATGGCTACCATCAAGCTGTGCTGCAACTCAGTACTATAGTCACATTAACCACATTTCATGAATATGTAATTAATTTTAAAAGCCTTACTGTACTGAGCCATGTTTTTCTGCTTTAGATTGTACCCAAGAGGTGTAGTGACTCTTAAGTATAAATTGTTGTACAATTAGCTCCATCTGCCTTCTTTGGTTATTAAAGCCACTGACATATTTTTTCCTGTAGCTTAAGATGAAACACCACAGAGTGGTCCACTTTCACAATACAAAGAAAGAAAGCAGTCAGCCTATAAGAACAGAATAGTGAATGAAAAAGAGAATAGAAGAATACCTTTCTGAACACAAGGAGGAAGAAAATAGCTGCATTATTTGGATTATACTACAGGAAGAAGTTGTCTGGATGGACAAAAACATACGAGTTTTAGAACAGAATAGATTAGAAAGGAGCTGGATTGAATGAAGTTAATCACTGGATCTGAGTCACGGGCCTTGACAGAAACAATTTTGTGAACAAGCATTTTGTTTTCCTTCACTGAGGTCCAAATAAATATTTTGAAATTAAAAGCGCCAAGATTAATTTGGGTTCAGGAAGGGAATATCCAAAACCTTCAAATCAATTTGTTAAGATAATAGTTGGGGGCTCTTAAGGGTAAGGATAGGGATTGTTTTTTAGAACCCACCTGTTCCTATTCCCACTCTTAAGCCTCCCCCATCCAAAAATAAATAAATAAATCCATGAGCACCATGCTTTCAGGTAATATGACAGAGTGACCAGATGGCTTTGCTTGGCCCTGTCCCGGAATGCAGTCCTCAGTCTTCCAAATGCTACTCAGTCCTGCAGAATGCTCAGCAGAATCTGACTATGAGGTAGTCTCCATTACTATTCCCATTTTTCAGGTTTTGGGGAGAGGAGGGGAATAAAAAAAAGAATCATAGGAGTTTAGGATTCAAAGAAACATCCATATTTCGGCTGACAACTTTTTGTTGAAGAACAGCAGGCCACAGTTAAATTCCATCATCGCCTAAATCAAAAATCAAAATCACAATCCTCATACAGTATATCAGCCTCCAACACCATTCCCATTTATGGGCACTGCAATACAAAGAGCTTTTTTTTAACCGTCTTTCCTACACTTCATAATCATTTTTACTGAACAGTCATAGACGTAGAAGTGAAAAATTGAGTTACGTAAATGTACCGCATTATATAAATTACTTACTCTTCTAAGCAGGCACAGTACCAAAACATTGCATGTAATGGATAATAAGGTATCCTTTGGGGGTTTCCTTGTAAACTTTTCCATATAAGACCATGTCTTGCCACAGCTATTTCATTTACCTGGTGCTTCTCAATATTGGCAACTTTAAGTTGTGTGGACTATCCCAGCCAGCATTCATTAATCTGATATGATTTTGTGCCCATCAGAACCATCCTATATCTCCTGTCAATTCACTTGCAGTAATGCAGGAGGGTAACTACAAAATCCTAAATTACAGGCCTCACAAAGGGGAAAATAATAATAAAAGATTGACCTTTCAAAAAAAGGATATGCACAGATCACTTGTATATTATTTTGGTGTCTGCATATATTAAAATCACAGTCATCTCCCAATACATGTTGCAGGCAGATTGCCAGAACTGTTTACCATACCATGGTGGCTGCCATCTGTAATTTTCAGCTACTGCTGACCTTTCTATAATTTCTAAACTCCATTCACCAGCTGTTACTACATAAGCAAGCTAGCTAATAACGAAGCAATAATTAAAAGTTTCTGATGCTGAGAAGATATGCAAATGGCAGTGGTCTCTGAGGACTTTAGTGCTGAATAGCTGATTACCCAGTCACTGTTGCACATCATAATCTTTTCCTAGTGTTGAAATCTTTTTTTTATAGTAAATAAGTTTGCAAAGAGCCATGATATTTGAGAATGGAAAAATCAGGAATTCCCAAAAAAAGAGTATGGAAACATATCACAGGAGTTTTTTTGTTCTTTTTTTTTAATGAATTATGTTTTTAAAAAATGAACAAGCAAGCAAAAGAAGAAAAGAAGAAAAGCAAAAAAAAAAAGGGGGGGGGTGATACAGAAATATAGTATCTATGATAAAGAGAAAGACTGGTCTCCTCAGGAGTAAGCCACAGTTCCTAACTGTAAGTGCCTGCACAGTGCTTGCTAAACATGAAGAAAAGGCAAATGTAAGGGCTGGAAAGAAAAGGAAGGGAGATGACAGATACCAAAGGATGGCAAAGAGAAGCCTATGGAGGAAGTGTCTGCTGGAATTATCCTTATCAGGCCTGAATAAACAGACTCTCCCACCCTTTTATACTCCTGTGATTTAGCTCATTTTCCAGGCACACAATAGAGTTGATTCCTCATGTTGGACAACTTCAAGAAAAGGAAGGAGCCAGAGACATCCCAAGTAAGGAATCGCCTATATGCTCACAGCCCACTGTGAAACTGTGACTGCAGCAAGAGGATAACAAACTGGAAATTGCAGCTGTCAGACCCATTTATTTCCTATTTACTTAGCTTTGTGTGAAACCAACAGAAAGGTTTCAAATGGTGATTATGTGATGCTGCAATAATCATAATCGTGAGCTAGGCACCCAAATGCCTAGACTGTGATCACTTGACTATGGGGACACTGCAATGGCCAAAACTTTGGGGACAGGTAGTAAGTTCCTTTTTCAGCACCACAATAACTTTGAACAACAGCTGAAGAAGGGACATAAACTGATGACTACCTGTATTTATATTCAAAACTGCTGGAAAAAATAACCATACTGAATGCGTTCTGGACATTTAGTGGCAATGTCATAAAACTGAACAATTCTTGAAGATAATTTCACTTATAATGAAACAAGTATCAACGTTTCCTTTTTGCCAATTCTTAAGCATTACTAAGTCTTTTATTGCTGTAAAGTATATAGAGTGGGCTACTGGGATTCTTCATGCTTCATATTGAACATTACATATAATTCCCTTTATTAGAAGAACTGCAGACTTACATACGGAATAGACGTCAATAAACATCAAGGCTGACACTGAATTAAATTAATAAAGACAGGCTTTCCCAGATTAGCTGGAAACTCTTAATTGTTCATTCTGATTGATAATTATTTCATTGGCTGATTTTGCTAATTACTGATTGATTGATTTTAATAATGGTTTTAAATTGCCAAATTGATATATGTTCATTTTTATATATGTACATCATATATGATATATATATATATCATTTTTATAAATCTCTTTTCTATTTTTGCTCCCTTATTTCTTTTTTCTTGGTTGCACTTTAAAATCTCTAAAATAAACCAGAGAGAGCAAAAGGGAGAAAGAATGTAGGGATGTTTAATGCTCAGAGTTGTTTGAGATTAGAGCAGTTTATAAGTCCTGAAAAATATCTAAAGAGCATCCATGGATGAGAGTATATTTGAACCTGGGACTCCCAAGATTTAGTCCAATATTTTAAACATATTTAAAATGTCATATTGGCTCTCTTAAAATTTGTCATATTCACACTCAAGTTTGTTGTATCAAACTGAAACATCAGTTTTTCTCCACATTTGACAAATATGACACAAGATACTTAGCAATAAATCAGCCCAAAGATTGGAACAACACTTGAAGGAATGTGACATTCCAAATGGACTGTTACATATAACAGTAATAGTAATTACTGTAATAGTAATAGTAATAATAAAGTAATAGTAATAGTAATAATAAAGTTGGAAGGGACCTTGGAGGTCATCTAGTCCAAGCCCCTGCTCAGGCAGGAAAACCTATACCATTTCAGACAAATGGCTGTCCAGTCTCTTCTTAAAAATTTCCAGTGTTGGAGTATACACAGTTTCTGGAGGCAGGTTGTTCCACTGATTAATTGTTCTAATTGTCAGGAAATTTCTCCTTAGTTCTAGGTTGCTTCTCTCTTTGGTTAGTTTCCATCCATTGGTTCTTGTCCTGCCTTCAGGTGCTTTGGAGAATAGCTTGACTCCCTCTTCTTTGTGGCAGCCCCTGAGATATTGGAGCACTGCTATCATGTCACCCCTCGTCCTTCTCTTCATTAAATCAGACATACCCAATTCCAGCAACCATTCCTTATATGCTTTAGCCTCCAGTCCCCTAATCATCTTTGTTGCTTTTCTCTGTACTCTTTCTAGAGTCTCAACATCTTCTTTACACCGTGGTGACCAAAACTGGATGCAATATTCTAAGTGTGGCCTTATCAAGGCATTGTAAAGTGGTATTAATACTTCATGTGATCTTGATTCTATCCCTCTGTTAATGCAGCCCAGCATTGTGTTGGCTTTTTTGGCAGTTGCAGCACACTGCTGGCTCATATTTAAGTGATTGTCCACTAGGACTCTGAGGTCCCTAGAAGGTCCCTCCTTCTTCCCATGCCATACTTGCTTGCCATCCTTCTCACTTGTCACCTGGGAGTTAATGATGGGACCCCTCCTCCTCCTCCTGGGATAGTTCCATCCTTGTAATCTATTCCCCTGGGCAGGCTTGCTCCTGCTCCTGTTCCTATTCAGTCATGATTGTTTAAATGCCACCTAAGCTCATTGTTGCTTTAGAGCAGAGGACCCCAACCCCCAGTCCATGGCCTGGTATGGGAATCGGGCCGCGCAAAAAGCAAGCAAGCATGCAAAGCTGCATATGCACAAACAGCATATGCACAAAACTCTCTCCTCTCCTGCCCCTGCCACTACTTCACAAAGCTGGAAAAGTTTGGAACCCTTGCTTTAGAGAACACCACTGTCATTCTTTCATTCTGAAATTACCACAATGAGAAGATCAAAATTATAGCAGCAAAATTATACTTGCTAACAGATAATTGATGACTGCATGGTGAGTCCCTAGACATCAATGATATCCAGAATCACGATCAGAAGTTAATTTTCAAGCAATGTGTGATTTAACTAATTGAAGCCAAAAGCTGAGAACAAAGTGTGCAATGAAAATATAAAATTTTGTTATAAAACTAAAAAGGTAGCTTACTTGTATAGATAATATTCAGTTTGATCCACCTGCTCACGTGAAGAAATGTTATCTATAAACTAAGGGAAAAATAGTTTAGATATGATCTTAGGTAAACCATTGACAGCAACTCAGATATGGCTGAACATAGTCAGATATAACTGCAATATAGAAAAAAAATCACTTTAAAGTGGCATAGAGATAAAATTATCACTGTAGCACTTTCACTTGATTTGCAATTGTTACCTTTACCTGAAAGAAGACTAAAAACCAGACTAAAGATTATTTTTATGTTTAATCTTCCTTTTTATAAGGAAATAGTCTTGAAATAAGGAACATGTTCCTTTTAAGTATATATGATGATAATTATTAATATCATTAGCCTTATTATTACCATATATAGTAACATAGTACTAACATGACAGTATTATTAGGAACCAATTCAGGAGCATCCAGAAATTGTTGATTTAGGCTTTAAAGGCAAACACTAAATGGAACAAATTGGTGCACAATAAAATTCTTTTGTACCAGTTTTCTGAACATTTTATTCTATTTCCTCTCACAGGTGGTTTTCTGAAGTTTTTGTCCCCAGCAATCAGTAGTCAATCTGCTACCATTGAAGATACCCAGATTTTATTATGCTGCTTATAAAAATGCCTCCACTTGGGAAAAAAAAGTTTTTACTTTTGCAAGATCCAATCTGAGCCAGTCATTGGGACCAGAGGTTTAGTCTTCCAAGCTATCTTCAGGGAACTTCTCTCTAGCAGAGTAGTGACTCACCCAGATTGGATCTTGCAACGTTATCCTGGGACACGTATGTTGGTTTTCATTCATTTTTACTTTTGCTGGTATCTTCTGGTATGTAGCTTGGCACTTTTGGCTGTAGGAAAAGGCAGAACTGGATGGTGGAACTAGGAGAGTCATCAGCCTAGAGTCATTACGGTCCCCAAAATTAAGTCCATCCCTCATGTATTCTATTGACCCTTATTAGGTGCCAATTTAGTATTAAACTTTTGTTGACTAGATTCTTGTATATAAACTTGAGCAATAAATCTTCTAAATTGCAACTTTATGGTCCTGATTCTTTGTGCCTAGTACTGGCAACATAAAATATGGCACTCAAATAATGTAACTGCAATTGGAATAAAGAATGATTCTATATTCTTTTTTATTTAAAAAATCTGGACTAAGACAGATTTTAAAAGTGTAAGAAATGGGTAGCAAAATCTCAAGAGAGTCACTCAAATAACTTAGTCCCATGCCATGTAGAGCTCGATGGATGGCAATTGGCATCTTGAATTGTACTCGGAAACCAGTGCAGTTCATGTAGCAGAATTGTTATATGGACACATTCTGGTACACCCGCAACTACTAATGCTATTACAATATTAAACATTACACAAATATATTATTAATTACATGTCCCTGTGACCAGGAAAACTTATTTTTCATAAGTTTATCCTCTAGGGCAGGCATGTCAAACTCGCGACATCATGGAATGTCACGCGAAGTATCAGAACTTTTTCCTCAATGCCTGCAATGGGGTGGGCAACCGTGTCCTTGTGACGCGTCCGGCCCATGGGCCGGCAGTTTGACACACCTGCTCTAGGGAAAAAAAATCAGGAAAAAATTAGAAACTGTTTTAATTCATGTGACCCTTATACACTAGCAATGCTTTGCACAATAATTTTACTTATAGGATTTAGGGAATGAGGAAAGCCATGTCTGTAATATATGAGACAAAAAGTCATATCAAGTCAAAGTAGATAACTCCCAAGGTCTTAAATAACTATCCTGGTATATGTAGAAAGCAATTGTATACATATAGCAATTCAACTAAAATACTAGTTTAAAATATCAAGATGTTATTTTATCTGGATTATTTTTGTTTTAATTTAATTTAATGTCATGTTCTTACCCGAGATAATGTTAAAGAGCTGACCGGTAGTTTTTTTTCATAGGTTCTGTCCATCAAATTGGCTAAATTAGCTGCAGGGGAAAAAAGCATCTTTAGTTTTTACTCATTAAAGTTATTGGATGAAAAATCAAGAAATGAAAACAAAATACGGTAATTCCAAAAATGGCCTTCTTTCACACTACATCTTTACAATGCAATAAGGTGTCATCTAGGGCTGAAAATAAACACAGCTGTACAACTCATGGGCCACAAAGCAACATTTGCTGCATCACTTAGCTGTTTGATGGTTAGCCAAGCAGCAGCAGCAGCACTGGAGTTGGTGATGTAGGTGAGGCCTGGAGGCATTTGACAGTGGATTTGTTGGGGCTGGCAGTGCCAACGTTAAGTAGGAGTGAATTTATTGAGTTTTTTTAAAAAAACAAAAAACAAATGCCAGTGGGACCCACCAGGGTGCTTGGTTGTTAAGCAAAGCAGTCACTTAGTAAAGCTATGTCTGTGAGGTGGGTTGAACTGAGAGAGAGTCACTGCCCAAAGTCACCCAGCCAGCTTTCATGGCTAATCTATCTCATGGTCTCCCGCTTGCCAGCACGGCAGCTGTTAATTTCAAACATTTGATTAAAACAAAACTCTTTAAGCACCTATTGTTATATATGACATTACATCTGTATTCTGATACAGTTAAACTTCCAGAAACTGTGTTGTAATATTCAAAGATAACTGAAAACAGGTCAGTTCCCATTGATATAGTAATTAAAGAGATGAAGGATCAGATAATCAACCATGCACAAATATCAAATTTATCCATCAACCCAATTAATATAAAAAACAGTGTTTCATTTTGTATTCTTTTAAAGAAATCTAGCTAAAAAAGAAAAAAAGTTAAAATCAGTGTAGCAGTTCTGGAAAACTGCTTATATTATTTAATAGTTCAACCTCCTCATGATGAATAAAAGTCAGCATGGCATATTCTAGCCCTCTTAAATTATAGAATGTAATATGGAAATCTCATGAATCAACTAAAGAAAACAAGCTCTAAATGGCATCCATTCAATAGTTAACTACTACCTCCTAAAATAATGAGATCTAAAATTGCCTATTGATTAAATTTACCTTAAAGCTGTCATGGAAGATTCCTGCTCTTACAAATTGGTGGCTCAAGGGACTAGTAACAGGAGATAAAGCTTTTCACTTCCCAAAAATTGCTGGTTCAAAGCTAGCTCCAGGCAGTGCCAGTCAATAAAGGCTTACTATATAATTGCTGCTGGCATACTCTTCAAAACAGATCAGTGCTGTTAGCGTATTTTTTAATGGAACCGTATCAGCATAAAACAGTTTGCAAGTAGTTTTTGTAAGGATGTCAATATTCAGTGAAAATGTAGGATAAAGTATGCATAAGTGTAACCGTATTTTAAGTCACTTTAGAGCAGAAAATTACTTTTGCTCCTTAAACAAATATTCATAAAAGTAATTTGAATTCATTAAAATTAATATGCCATACTCTCAATGTATTTTGCTCAATCTTCTAAATATAAACCTTGGAAGATATAGCAGCTTTCCTGCTCTACAAGATTAAGAATATAAGGGCAGTCCTTGGTCTGAATGGCAAGGATTACAAAGTCCAGGATCTTGGACTTAAAAGACAGTGTAGTTTCTTCATTCAGCTGTTTCTCCACAACCTGCTGCATCTGATCTTTGAGCCAGCAAGATCCATTATGTACTAATGACTACTGACAGACTTACCCTTCACTAAACTGTTTTATCCCTTTTTAAAGCTATATTGGAAGTCATCATTATAACCTATATTTATTGTAACTATGTGCCATGATAACCCTTTTCTTTGTTCTGAATTCATAATGAGAATAGCAAGGAAAAAATTAACTGTTTGGTTTCTCAGCATCATCTATGATTGTATAAAGGGCTTCCAAGTATCTTTTTCTAGGCTAAAAATCCAAATACAGATTGTTTTTTTCATAAATCATTTTGGTTCTCCTTTACTATGCTTTTTTTTAGCATAGTATGCTCTTTTTTAATCAATAAAAAGCCCAAACACCATTCTCTTCCTTCTCCTCCTAACAAACCTGCTGTATATTAAAAAAGTGTTTCATGTTAACTACACATTTTAATTTGTAGAAGAGTAATAAAACCTATGTTTAAATTATTATGGCCATGAACAAAAGGTATATGAGGAAAGTTAAAAGCACCTCATGTACCAAGTGTTTTCTTCCCAATACATACATACATACATACATACATACATACATACATACATACATCAAGTTTCAAATGTAAACTCTGCAAACCAATGTACACATTGAAGAAACAGCCCTGCTGCAACCTGCCAAACCCATCTCAATTCAGAATTATGAAGGAGGAAAAATCCAGTAGAACAGCCACACTGGAAGGATATAAGATTATTACAGAATATTGCTTTCAGGAATCTGCTGCTCCTTATTCTCACCTTCCATTTGCAAATGTGACCCTTCGCTTATAATGTTGCCTCTAGGGACACCTCCATTACAGAAATGCAATAAGTATGTAAGTAATATGTTGAGATTGACTGGATTACAAACTGAGCAGTGCTGATCATTTTGAATGTAAGAGAGCAGAATAGCACATTTTTTTTAAAGACAATCAGAAATTTACAACTTTTGTCTCTGGACAACAGCGCACCTCCATAGCTCATCTGAATAGCCTACACTGGGCAAATGCACTATAAAAACCCGGCATTTTGGTAAACTCTTATAGTATTTTTTGAGACAGCTATAATGTATCAAAGTAGACGCTACATTCTTTCTCCTAAACCTGCAGTCTTTCTCCTAGGGATTAAATACCTGCTTTGCCACATGTTTATTATTATTTATTATAATTATTTTATTATTTCATCTTATATAAGAGTCCATCCTTTAGTCTGCCCCAAAGGTTTCTCTGTGCCTAACAGATCTAAACTCCTGGGCAAAATTGAGTCATCCAAACATTGAGCCCTGTGAGTTTTGTTGCCTACCTGGCCTGAAGTAGAACCGGTAGAATTTCTAAGAATAGCACTTTAGGAGTCCTAACAGACTTTAATCTGTTATCTAACAATCTAAATCTAGCTTCCAAGACTACAGACTTTAGCTGTCCTTCTGACTTCCTGTATAGCCCAGCTGGAATTTTAGAATTTAAAGGCTAGATTGTAGACAGCCCCTCTATATTACTGGAAAGCATCCTCATTACTGGACTTTTCTCCTTCATATTAGTTTTTGTTGATAACTTAGTTTTCTAGTTTGATTTTCACACATGATTTTTTTTTCTTGCAGAGAGCTAGTCCCTGCATTATACAGTTAGTCTGACTGGTCGTTGTTGTAAAAATTGTAATTCTCTTGACTGAGAAATACTACCACTCACAAAGGCACAGTGCCATCTTGCGTTCAAGAAAAAGACACTGCACAACTGTGATTTGCAAACTGATATCTAGCAAGCTAATTTATCTACCCTCAATCAATTGAATGTCCTAACTTTACTGCTTTCCCCCTAATATTTCAGCCTATTTTGCTTTCAGTACTATATTTTGGTACATTTATGAACTTTATGAAAGTTCAGCCACAATGAATTTGTTAGCCTCTAATGAAACAGCTACAGTCCTGTACACTACTGAACTGTAAACAGAAGCAGCATCTCTCTCTCTCTCTCCAGAACTGGAGCTTTGAGATGATGGATGATGGAAAACTGCTGCTGCCGAGAAGAGACAATACTGCTTTCTATAAAGGTCCTCTCAGTATTGTGAAAAACAATTAACCTATTCCCAGTATCAGGAAGTTGCATGTTTCCCCAATTTTGAAAGAGACAGCCAAAGATATGGACCACAGATAAAAAGAAATGCAAAAAGCATAACAACATAAAATATTCAACATATATATTATTTAGAAAAGGGCAAGAAGCTGCCATGAATTCTTGTCTCCCATATGTACATCTCTTTGGTTTTCATCACAACTAAAACACTGCTGACCTAAATGAATATTATTAAAATTTGTTGCATACTGTACTGTCATCAATGCTTTCTCAAGTATTTAAACCCCCCCCCATTAAAAAAAGTCAAGCAGGCACTCTTGCTTTGAGAAATCGGCATCTGGAATACTAACAAATTTACAGTAAGTCTAGATCATAGTTCACCATTATGTTAGATCCTGTAAGCCCAAAATTTTAAAAAAGCATTTATTTCCTTACCCAGGCTGTGCTCTTCCTTTTTTCTTTGTTCCCATATTGTACTGTCCACGTATGCTGCTGAAAGAATGCACCTTTTACCTAATAAAAGAGATCAAAGAAAATCTTTAGAAGATTTCCACACTGAAAAATGTATTAGTCATCCTATTTGTATGCATTATATTCATTATGTTAAATGCACTAGGTTGCTATGGTAGCCATTATTATTTTAGGAATCATTTAACTTTTATCATCCTTTGGGATTCAGATTCTATAAAAATTGGAACCCTGATAGAGACTCTGTCAACTCTATTTATAGCTTTAAAATATCTCACAACTTCACCATAAATTATACTTCTATAAAAAAATCCAATAGATCTTATCCAATAAATATTATGATTTACAGTATTAAGGTGGTTCAAGCATGAACACAACACAGGAGAAGGTTGAGAGTGCAGTGCCAATACAAGTTGAGAAAGAAATTCCATAAATACTAAAATACTAAATACAAATACTAAAAAGGCCCTACAAATCTCACAAATTGATCTTCTTGCAGCCAAAATTTGGTTCAGCTAAAGCAGTGGTTGTCAACCTGTGGGTCAGGACCCCATTTGGGGTCGAACGACCATTTCACGGGGGTCGCCAAACAAGGCTGTCCGCCATTTTTTCCCCCTTTTCTTTGGCCACGCCCCTGGCACCCGGTGATGTATAAGTGGTTGGGGGTCACCACAACATGGGGAACTGTATTATGGGGTCGCGGCATTAGAAAGGTTGAGAACCACTGAGCTAAAGCAACCAAATCATTTTGAAAATATAACAGAATTTGATTAGGCATACAAACAATGCAGTTTACACTGGGCTCCTGGCAAAGCACTGCTAGCTTGTGGGGCAGCCTTAAACAAAGGCAGGACCCTAACATGTACCTTGGCCTACTACATTGCAAAGGAAAGACAAAGAAAGGCAGACACGGTAAAAAAAATTACGGCATTCTGGAATTCCTTTCTACTAGGTTGGCATGCTAATCATACTATCTCTGACAGTACGGTCAGTGAATATAAACAGATTTATTGAGCCACAAAAGTATCTGACTGATTTCTCTCTTCGTTGCCACTCAGAGTAAATTCAGCTTGCTGTGAATGGTTACAGGTAGTCCTCGACTTATGACCACAATTGAGCCTGAAATTTTCATTGCTAAGCAAGGTAATTGTTAAGTGAATTGTGCCCCATTTTACATTTTTTTTTTGCCACAGTTAAGTGAATCACTGCAGTTGATAAGTGAATCATGTGGTCATTGAATGAATCTGACTGGGAAGATTACAAATGGTAATTACATGACTCCAGGACAGTGCAATACATGTAAGTTGCCAAGGGCCCGAATTTTGATCACATGACCCTGGGAATGCTGCAACAGTTGTTAAGTGTGAAAAATTGTCAAAAGTTACTTTCCAGTGCCATTGTACGTTTGAATAGTCACTAAACAAATGGTTATAAGTTGAGGACTACCTGTACTTAAGCAGTTCACATGTATTGGGCTGCATCTCATACATTTGGTAGTGAATGTAATTCACATGTATGTGAGGGGGTTACTTTTTACCAACATAACCTTGAACGGAAAAACAGCCAATATACCATCCAACTAGCTATAATAATAAGGTTCGTATAAATTATAGGTCAGACCCCATAAATTTAAAATAAACTCAAATCTCAAGAATGTGGGCGGAAGCATAGAATATTCAATAGGTGATCCAAATCAAGTAAAATTAGTGCATAATATAATAACTTCGTTGGGAAAATATCCATATACCATATTAAGAAATACTAGATTAAGAAATCTTCTATGAAAAATGAGAAACAAAAATGTTCGTCAATGTCCAGGCAATCTTTTCTATACGATGTGAAGAAACTTTGCCCTTCTTCTGTGGAATAATAGAGGCTTTACTTTTAAACAGGGCAGAATTGCATCACTGACATTGTCACACAAAACAGCCCTGTCTAAAATCTGCAGACCAGAAATGGGCACTATCTCCTTTTGATGTACAGGTACACAATTTGTTTAGTGACCGTTCAAAGTTACAACAGCACTGAAAAAAGTGACTTATGACTGTTATTCATACTTATGACTGCTGCACGAGATCAACATTCACATACTTGGAGACTCCTATTTTTGACAGTTGCAGTTCCTAGAATCCTCTGATCAGCTTTTGTGACTTTCTGACAAGCAAAGTCAATGGGGAATTCAGATTCATTTAACAGTTGTGTAGCTAACTTAAGAACTGCAATGATTCACTTAGCAACTGTGGGAATAAAGGAGCAAAACTCACTTAACAAATGTCTCACTTAAAAACAGAAATTTTGGGCTCAATTGTGGTCGTAAGTCAAGAACTATGTGTATACCTAGTTCCTACTGCATCTGACTTTTGTTCAGATATTAACAATACTAATGAAACTAACAGACTGTAAAACAAGTCACCACCTTGCAGTACCATCATTTCCCAGAATGGGCCCATAGATGGCACAAATTGTTAGAAACCAAAAAAATAAATTACTAAAATGATGGATTACAATGACAAAGAGGGAGCAGAATGTACTTTATAGGTTATATGGTTGTGGTGGGTTTTTCCCGCTGAACTGGCCAGATTCTTCACAACAGCCATTTTACAGTTTATATCGCACTCTCAATCTTTCAAATATGGCCACCTGCAGATAAGGGTTTCTACCTGTGGTATAGAGCAGTATTTCTCAACTTTGGTATATTAAGATCTGTGAACTTCAACTCCCAGAATTCCCTGGTGTAGAGAATGTCGAGGGAGATAGATCAATGCTAACTCTTTTATTGTGAGAGCACTAAAAACTATTCAGCCCACTGAGCTGCTTGCAATCAATGTTCTTATCCAAATTGATGAAAATTTCCCCAAATCATATTCCCTCTGTGAAAAAAATAAAATTAGTTTCTGAACATTCTAAAGAATTACATTATGTTTCTTCAGTGTACATGAAATAGGTCAATATATATTATATTGATAGGCTTAAAGGAAGCCAGATTTAAAAATAAAAGTATATGTAATTGACTTGAAAACAATAACCCTATTTTTCAAGTTTCACTACATCCATGACATCAGTGGAGGAACAGCATAAGCTGCTCTTCTGTCCCAAAAGGTTAAGACACCAAAGTCAATCTTAAACCTTGTTTACTTTCTGGCAATCTTGTTTTACATTTTAACATTCAACAATAAAGATTATTAACTGAAACATTTGATTTATATCCTGAAAGAAAATATATTTTTTCATACTTTAAAGCTCTTAAAAAACCACATTTTAGTTTAACTTAATATGTGAATTCAGCATTGTGGTTTCTAAATCATGTCTTAAAGCAATGTTTGGACCAGACCACAACAACATATTCAACAAACTGTGATTAAAACAAATGATAAATTAGCATGACATGGGCCTTTCTTCTTACTGACACTAATCTAACATTTTCGTGTAAGATGACACACATTTGACTTTGATGATACTGAAATAAGAAGGCTAGGCAACAACACGTGAGAAAATCAAAATGCTAAGCTGGCCGTGGTCTTATTCTCATCAATTCCACGTGGATATTAAAGAGAAGAACACATCCTGACATGCAAATCTTTCTTTGCAAAGATTCTTAGCAGGAATAAACATTCCTGATCTAGTCAGTCTAAATAAATGGTCTATAAAAATCGTCACTAGCTATCAAGTCACCGATTCAAAAAAAATCAGTAAAACCCTCAACTGAAAAAAAAAACCCTCCAGAACTAAGAATGTAAGAAACGGACAGATTCTCGGAGGAAGACTCCCATCTTCCTCCCATCTGAAGCGACCCACCTGTCGCCGCCCAATTTTTCATCGTAGTCCCGTTCTGCAATAACCCACGCTGAAACATGAACGCTGCCATTTTGGCGCGTACCGCATCTATGATCCAGGTGGGAGGAGCAGTAAGGGGAGGAAACGCCTTTGCTGCTGCGGTCCAGACCAGCTGCTTAAAGCTCTATGCCAGAGACGCGGAACTACGGCCTTTTTATGTAGACTTCAACTCCCAGAATTCCTGAGCCAGCATAGCTGACGGTCACATAGCTGAGCGAAAGCCTACGTGACAATAGAGTGTAAGGGAAAGAAGGGCAACACTTCTTGGGCGGTTCTTTAGCGCCTCTCTCCTTGTAGCGGTTCTTCGTATGTCCCGGCGGTAAGATGGCTTCGCTGGTAGTTGGTCGATTCCTGCGGAAGACAGTCGAATATCCCGCGGCTGGCGGGCTGGTTGCGGACAGATTTGGCTGTTGGAACTGCTTTCAAGGAGGTACATTGGAACTGGTGTTAGGAAAAGAAAGGGGGTTGGAAATTCTAGGTCTCTCTTTAAAGAGTGATCGAATAAATGGAAAGGTTGCTTTGCACCTCTGGAATTTGTAATGTATAGTCATCAATAACAACCACTATTGTGAGCCGCCCAGAGTTGTGTTTTAAAGTGTATATTCATGCAAATCTTACATGTCTGAGATGATATAGGTTCTCCTGCTTAAGCGGCGGGCTGGACTAGAAGACCTCCAAGGTTCCTTCCAGCTCTATGCTATTCTATTCTAAAGTAATGTTGCCTCCTTTGAAGGCGCGTGGGTGAACTCGTCCTGTGCCGGCAGGCGAGTTCTGTGACTGAAGCAAGTCAATCCGCGCCCCGAGGGGTGCGAGCCTCCAAATTGTGGCTTGGAAAGTCAGACACTGAGTTTGACGTGCAGCTGCTAAGAATTTGATCCCCGATTTTGGGAGAGACATTTTTACCTTTGCAAAGGGGTTCTTTGCTCACCCGAAATAGGAACCACCAAATATTATTGTTATTGTTGTTGTTATTTAATTCAGGCAAGCAAAAAGCATTTATTAAGGGGGGTGGGTGGGAGTGAAGTCTTTTTAAGGTACAGAAACAAGGTACAGATGTTTTATATTTATATAATGGTTGTTAAAAGGTCAAGCAATACAAGAAACATTTTAAACAGTATTACCAAGTATGTACTGTATGAATGGGAATGGGTGAATAAGAATAAAGGAAGGAATGTGTATTCATACATTATATTGACCCAGTTCAGATTTAAATTGGATCCATTATTATAATGGGGTGGACAGTGTTTAAGGTCCAGGAGTCATATCTAACTTTTTTTTAGCGAAGACTATATTTAGCAGACAAATACTGAGAAATTGATAAAATCGTGTCACAAATGGATAAGAATTTTGTTTCTGTTTTTAAAAATATACTAAGCTTACTGAAGCAGTTGTACCATACCGAATGCCTATTTTCTTCTTTAAAATGGTAGGAAATTCTGCAAATGGTTTTTAGTAATTATTAGACAACCTGTGACCTGTTGTGTCTTCCTTTCAGAGATATTTTCTTACCTAAATAAACAGAAGGACCATGAATAGGCAAAAAGCAAGGGGAGCGGGAGTGACTTCTGACTTCCTGCCGACTTCCCCACTAAGATCCTTGTGGGAAGCTGTCAGGGAGCATCAAGAAATCAGAAACATGAGTTTATATGATTGAAAGTTGACACTTACTGTTTTTGAGGAATTGAAATTATTCATATTTATTTGGCAAAACCTGATTGAATTTTATTGTTATAATAGAAGTGATCGTAGTGAAAACATGTAAGTATTACTGTACAAAGTTTATAATCATGACACATCAGAATAATATTAATTGCATAAAGGAAAATATCTCTGAGGTCTTGTGTCATTTTTCTAGTTGGAAATAGGGTTATTTGATTAAGGTTAAAATTTTGATAAATAAAACACTATTGTATTTTCTTGTTCCATTTTCAGCAAAACGTTACTTATTAACAGAAGACGTTCTGCAGTTACGTAAATTTCAAGAAAAGAAATTGGAAAATCAATATAAAATATATGGACAAAAAGGTATTTACATCAAATTAATCATTTGCAAATTAAAATTGAGCATAATTTTTATCTGTGATGTACAAACTATGATTTCGCTAATCCACACAGTATGATAGCTAAGATACTGTCTCCTTAAGCATCTAACATCTTTAGCTCTTTCTGCTATTGTTATTGCTGAACTGGGCCAAATTCTGGAAACCAGAATATTTTCCTGGGTTGAGGAATGTGTCTGATCTGTAGGATACCTTCCCCAAAAGGGGACTGTTCCAGGAAAACTAGGAAGTTACATCATCCTAGGTATAAACAAAAGCAAAGGTCAGCTTCATTTTATTCTACCAATTCTGCAGTATTGTAACCTTAATAGCTGATTGTAAATACAATTGAATACAATATAAACAATTTACTTTTTTTTTCAATTTCAGATGAGTTTTTCAGAACTGTTGAAAAAAAATTAGCAAATGATACCCTTATCCTCAAAATCGAATTAATAAATCTACTTTATCTATGTCAATCCAAAAATGAAATAGAATTAGTCAAAAGAGCCATATACAGGTAAGAGTCATTTAGTAATGTGTATATTCATTTGTATTATCTTTGATTGATTTCTGGTCATGTTACAATAAGGGAGTTTTATAATGAGACTATTCTTAATTATTTCACATTTGATTTTTTTTGGTCTTTTTCAAAGACTAAATATTGTACATTTCATTCTTATGGAAATAATGCAAACCACAACATAGTAAAAGAGAAAAAATATAGAATCTTTTACGAGCATTCAAAATTCATTTGATAGAAAGAGCTACTTTAGGGAGATTGTTATATAAACTCTTCTCTTGTTGAATGGGAAGTAGCTTGTCATTATTTTTAGTTGAATGGTATTTAAATGATGTTGGTTTTCTGGAAACTCTAAACAAGTAAGTATAACATTTCCCAGCATCTTGGTTCCTATCTTGGAGAAGATTCATATTGAGGTATATTCTCTATGTGTCTGTCTGATCTTTAAGCTTAAATTATCATGATAACAAAAACTGTATTTTACTCAGGTATCACAAAGAGAACAGAAACAGAGCTTTTGGGGAGTTCAGATTTGGACCCATATTTATGAGATTATGCTATGAACTAGACCTTGAAGCAGTTGCACTGGAACTCATCAAAGACCAGGTGAAATTCAGGTCTATGTTTGTATTACCTTCCTGAAATCCTACTTACTCTTATTTCCTTGGTCTTGCCAGTTACATGGGACTTTACACTTGGAAGTAAGTCTTGTTTCACTGGGGATTACTCCAAGGTTTGAGCACAGTCTCCTCTAGTCCATGATTAAGATCCAAAGGAAGACTTTCCATGGTCTGTGCATTTCCAAGAATTTTTCAAACAGTCCTGTAATAAATCACCCTTTAACCTTTGATAATTTATTTTCAGAAGTATTATAGTGATAAATGTATTTTGAGAATGATGACTCTCTCCTAAACAAACCTTTGCAGCTTGAGAGGATGATCCTAAAATGTAAAACCCTGAATTTTTATACAAGTTTTTCTCAAGCATTATGAATAGAGTGATTTCCTTTGAAGACAGCCAATACAGTTATATTTTCTGATTCTTTTTTTCAGACTCTAAATGGCTTCTTTGGAGATTACAAATCATTCAATATATTAATGGACATGTTATTTGAAAAGGGCCATTATGAAGGTAAAGGAAAGATAATGTTAATCACATTATAATATAATTGCCACTGAATAATTTGATCTAATAAATTTTACATGATTACTTTTCGATGTTGTAGAGCTATAACACCTCGTGTAAAAATAATTGTAGTTCTCTTAAGTCTGTGATCATTAGATGTTTGTTTTCATTCAGTGAATGTAATCTTTCACCGAATGAAAACGTACTTTTTTGGAGTTTTTTAAAATTTTACTTTTTCTTTGGGGAGCTTGGGAAATTTTAAATCTGGATCAAATTTTGTCTGGCCACAACATTTCTTTTGCCATGACACATGGCATTCTGTGTAAATATCTGTTAAAAAGAAAGAGTTTTCTAGACAATCAGACTTAATTCCAAACAACTTTGTATAGTACTTCAGCTTTATGACATTTAAAACTGAAATTACCACAGCACTTATTTCTAGATATTCACAGATCTTCAAAATGGAATCAAAATTCTTTTTGAAAAGAAACCCAAATCTCAATACATGTTTGCCATGAGGTTTTACAAGATGTCTATCACTTTTAATGTTTTAAATTTGGGATTATATATTTTAATTATTGTGGATTTTGCAATGCTCTGGTTCTCTGGGAATATTTTTAACTTGCAATTTTGTGACTCAGGTGCCGAAGACACCTTTTCTAATCACTTCATGATTTGCAAAGAAAATTGTATCCGGACATCAGTGCTGAAGCCTAATACAGCATGCAATTTTATTCCAATTGTTATTTGTTATAAATAGTATAAATAGTAAATTTAAAACAACGATACATCAAATATTTTGCTATCACATAGCATATTATTTTACTATTATGATATATGATTTCCACTGAACTATTGCAATCTTAGAATTTAGGTATAAAATCATTTCTAATTGGCATACCCAGCTTGGAGAACATGGGTTGCATTGTTCATAGCTTCATTCCTTGTCATCTATCACGTCCCTGCTCTACCTAATGTAATTTTTAATACCTACTTTAATTGCATTGCAGTAACCTGTAATATGATCTTGGCTTGCAAGAATGCATTTGAATCCAATAGGCATTCTTGGAAAGTGATAAGCAGAAATATCCCAATGCTTCCTCTAGCAATGTACTTGTGTATTCAGAGATGGGGAAAAGATAGCCATAGGAAGAACTTCACAAATTTGCCTCCTGCTAAATTGTTATTTTTTGACTTCCCCCACCCACCATGAAAAGCATTGTATAAATCAGCTTCTTCCTATGGCAGAATTGTTGTGTGAGTGTGTATGACAGGCATTCATATGTCCCAAAAGAATATATTTGCTCAATACTAATAGAGGAGAATATTTGTAGTTCAGGTTGAAATGAGGGGTCCTTGGGGTTCTCTCAGCTTGGTTGTTTTGTTGCTAATGTTTCATTACTGAAAATAGGTAACATCATCTGATCATATGATACCTACTTTTGGCAATGAACAAAACAACTAAGCTCAGAGAACACCAAGGAACCCTGAAAGAATCTAATGGTGTGTAATTGATTCCCCCAAGTTTTTTTTTTAATAAATAATTTAGTTCAGTTGCAAATATTATTAATTAGCAGTTGGAATGTGTGATTATCTACAAATACTGAAGGAATGCTCAAAATTAAAATTATATTCCACAGATGCCCTCAATGTGCTATTAGAAATGGACAGGGAAAATGTCAGATTCAGCCAAGACACCTACTTGCTTGCATTTGCAATATGCTACAAACTGGTAATAATATATATTGTTTAATATGATTTTGTGTCTACGTTTCTCTTTAATTTAGTTTTCCTTAGTCTTTATGGAGATTCTCAGTCATTCAGGTCATGGTTGTTCCAAAAGTGCTTTTCAAAGAGGCAACTGGACTTCCTTGTTTTTCTTTAAAGATATTTTGCTTCTTATCCAAGAAGCTTCTTCAGTTCTGAAGCTGAAGAAGCTTCTTGGATGAGAAGCGAAACGTCTTCAAAGAAAAACAAGAAAATCTAGTTGCCTCTTGAAAAAGCACCTTTGGGAGTTCCTGAGTCTTTATTTTACTTATGACAAAACCCATAGTAAAAACAATATCATTAAATGACTGCGTTCTTTTTCTCTCTGTCTTGGTGCTTTGTCAACCAGCAGCAGACACTAAGATTTCCCTGGCATTAAATAGATGGTGTTTTATAGCTACTGAAGTGGAGAGTTACATGTTTTGCATATAGTCATAGTTGAATCAGGAATATATAATATATAAATTTGACAAATAAAAATCAGATTTTTTTTAAATTAAAAGTTAAGGAAAATGTATTTAAAATAATTATAGCATTTGCTATTTTGACATAAGATCATAATAATCTTGTTGCCTCAGGTTATGACTTAAGAAATCCAGTGTTTATGACACATATGCCAGCGAGAATCATTCAGAGTTTACAAGGAGGATAATATTTGTGATCTACTATTGCTCTATAGCAGCTATATCTGGGATTAGAGAGGTAATGCACAGCCATTAAGATAAGGAGCCATTGACAGCCTGATCCTTCTTCCATTTGTCTGTAGTCTCTATTTAAATTGCCACATGAGCTGTGAATAGCATAGTATGGCTACCCATTGTGTAAAGAACATAGTAGTCATCACTAGTTGCATAAAACTATGATACACAAAAGCAGATCTTTTCAGTAATACAAAATACTGCAGTAGGCTTTGTAAAAGATATACCAAAATAAGTGTGAATCACAGTCATTTGGTAGGTGTTTGTGCTTTGACTAATATAAAAAATTGTCCATAGTGAGTATCTTATTAATAAATTAAGCTTGCTTTCTATGAGGAAAAGTACATACAGTATGCTTCTTTCTCCATCTGGAACTCTTCCTTCCTTCAAGAAAAATAGAATCTTCAACTGTACAAAGAGGGGAAGTTTGATAGCTTGGAAACAATATGTCTATGTGGAGAGGAGATATACTTTTTCCTTTACCTGTGTCTGACACAGAGGCTTGCATGGTCTTCCATTAGGGAAGTACTAAATATTAGCTTTCCTGATGTGTTCACAAATTAATCACATTGTAGTATCCATTGAGCTCCAGTTTTCATCGGAGTTTATAAATAGCCTGCTTACAATTCTGTTTTGTTTTTACCATTAGTGGATTTTAAGAGAAGTTCTGAGCACTTTTCATAGCCCAAGAATTTAGAATTCAGTAAAGTTGTAACATCTCTGAATTGTAGTCTGCCCTGCAATTATACATATACTAAAAATCTTGCATCCTGCAGAACAGCCCAGCATCTTGGGAAATTGTTAATTCATTACTTGAAGATAAGCATCTCTATGGGCATGAGCTTTCAAGAAGAACACAATATTTTATAGTGGCACTTGCTCTAAAACAGGTAAAGGATTATTTATTTCTATTATCAGTGCAGTTTGATGCTCTGTATCCTTTGGTGTGTGTTTGTACAATAGCCTCAGTGCAGCGGCTTATGCTTAAAAAGGGATTAACAGTAAAAAACTAAGAAAATAAATGGTAAGAATCCAGAGGACAAATTCTCTGTGATATATAAAATATAAATATCTTACAAGAACTTAACCAAATCCTACCCTCAAGGCCTGGCGGACAGACAGGTTTTCAGCAAACCTTCTGAACATCAACAGGGTGGAGGGCATATGGGTCTCAACAGGGGTGCTGTCCAAACTGACACTAACTAGATAAGTTATGCTTCCTAAGTCCCAGTAGCTGACATTGTTTAATTGAAGGGACTCAATACGCACTTATTCTCCTCATTCTTACCATATGTGTAGAAATAATTGGAGATAGGCTGTCTCTCTAGCCAGGCCCTATGTCATGAAGGGCTTTTTAGGAAGTAACCAGTACCTTGAATTGCACTCAGAAACCAACTGTTAACTAAGTTTGTGGAGTATTGGAATCACATGGGCACATTGTAGCATGCCCGTTCTGAACCAGCTGTAGCTTCCACATGGACTTCAAGGGCAGCCCTGTGTAGAGTGCATTGCAGTAGTGTAGTTATAAGATGATTAGGATATCAGTGATTGTCTCAGAGTCTTCCTAATCCAGAATAAATGATTCTGTCCAAAGGCCTTACTGGCCACAGCCTCCACCTACTCTTTAAGTTTAAGACAACCCTCAGATTGTATGTCAGTCTTGAATGGGAAAATGCTTCCCCATCTGAGAATAAAGATGGAAAATCCTCAAAAGCCAGGGAGCCCAAACATTGCCAGTTTTGAGGTGGGCTCAGAGTGAGCTGAACAGCATATAACAGTGATGAATATTAAAGTCATCCCCTGGACATTGTTGAATTCCAACTCAGAGCAGTTTTAGTCAATATGGCTAACTGTGGCAGAAGATGAGAGCTCACCAGCTGGAGATTCAACATATTGCTCACTGAAGGGTAGAAGGGCATAGAGCAGGTTAGTACATTTAAATTGCCTGGGAGAGGGATTCCATTTGAAAGGTATTTGAAAGTTTTGGTTGGAAGTCAGCAGGTTGTCCCAACATGATAGAATATGGATAAGTAAGGATACATGGGAAGCAGCATATGACCTACAAAATCTCACTTTCTCTAAATTGAGATTAGTATTTTTTAAAGTCAGTGTTTTTCCATCAGCACTATTCCAAGACAGATAAAATACCCATAGTGGAGCACATTTATCCATGGTGATAAAGAGGTTGAAACAATCCTACACCTATTATTATATTGATATTTTATAGGGCAGTGTTTCCCAAACTTGATAATTTTAAGGCATGTGGATTTCAACTCCCAGAATTCCACAGCCAGCAATGCTGGCTGTGGAATTCTGGGAGTTGAAGTCCACATGCCTTAAAATTGTCAAGTTTGGGAAACACTGTTATAGGGACATAAGGTCTATTTATATATCACCTCTAATAGAAATGTTCCTAGCTAGAGTATACACATTTCATCTGAATTACCGGTATCTTCTCCAGGATTTGAAATCCACTATTTCCTGTCCAGTAGTGAAATTTTATGTTGCTGCAATGAAAATAAGACAACAGCAATTAAAGAAATGATTGGTTTAAGAGGTTTTCACATTTATCCCTAATATTACTTTTAGGTAGTTATTTTTAATGAGTTGCTTCAGGATATTTACATTACAGTTTTTAAATTTTTTAAATTTATCATTACTTGGTCAGTTAATATATTAATACAGTAATAGAGGTGTGAATGTTATATCATGTGATTTATCTTATGTGCTGTATTAATTTGCTTTATATTATTCTTTTAAATGTGCTGGTCATTGACTGAATAAATAAATACTACTTCTGATTTAGAATAATGTGTATATGATAGGTCTATTTATTACTGAGAGGTTATGAGAGCCAATTGTTAGGATTTAAATAAAATGTTAGGCAATATTTTTAAAGAATGACTATTATATTTGTTTCCTTCTATAGAATGATTTTTTGAAGGCCCAGTACTATTTTTCACAGTTGCAGCCTACAGAAAGTATAATATATGATAATCTAAAGGTAAATACACTTAATCTGTGTGTTCTACATTCTGATGATATTTTTAAGACAAAGGATGTTCCTTGTCTTAAACAACATATTGCAATTTAATCTGCTCTATTCCAGCGCTAATTAAAATCATCTGTGCCTTATATTGTTTTCTTTATGTCCTTTAATTTTCAAGTGTTTCGATTTGCTTTGTGGCAGATCAACACTGGAAAAATATAAGTAGTGACTCATTTACTGTTTGTCAATGCTATATTTAAATAACCAATGGTTAAATTATTCAAATATGCTGGCAAAGCCTTTTCTGTGATTCGCATCAATGAAATGGTTCTAAGGAATCTTTTTAAAATCTTTTGTTAATAAAAATTTCCATGGCAGCAAATGTAGGAGTAAATAACTTACAAGATGTTGAAAGAACAGTGAAAAGTGGGCAAGCAGAGATAATCTCAGAGAGGATAAGGCATTGAAAACGGGAGCAATTAGTATTCCATTTTTTTCTGTTTAATCATGTCTGATTCTCAGAGACGGCCTGGACAAGTCCCTGTAGTTTTCTTGGCAAGGTTACTCAGAAGTAGTTTGCCATTGCTTCCTTCCTAGGGCTGAGAGAAAGTGACTAGCCCAAGGTGGGGCTATCACTCAGTCCCCCGGTTTCTAGTAGTTTCGATGCCATAACTACTATGTCAAAATATCTTTGTTTAAAATTGAAGATACAGACATCGATATGGGAGTGGTAGAAAGAGGGGCAGATGGAGGAAGGGACAGCAGATAGAGAACAATCAGTGATCTAATGCTTATTTGGGAACAAAACAATTTCTTCATGAGATAGTCTTCTCCATTCCTCCCTCCTATTCAGGCCAATTTTATTGGTTTGTTGTAATAACTTGGCGTTGGAGGGCAAGGATTATTTCCATAGTAATAGCAAGAATGTTCCTAAGCAGCCCTTTGTAGCATAACATTCTCCACTATATTGGGCTGCAATGAAAAAGGTTGCTCTGAAGTTTCAATCCCAGCATGTTCTCTCCCTTAGTTGAGTCTATTATTGTGAGTAAAATAATTAAAGAGACAGACAGGTTCTGTATCACAAGTTTTATTGTAACTTTTATAACTTACATTTTATATTGAAAAATATATAGCTGGAATTTGCCACCATTGATGATCAGCAATAGGTGTATCACATTCATAAGGGTACCACATTCCACAGCACTTTACGAACAGTACATTCTGTTGATGATCATCAGGGCTACTGGTACAAAGACTTTTGACCTGACTATTTGGAAGGTTTTTCTTCTGACACAATCCAGAATTTGTTAAAGCATTATTCTTTTGTGGTGTTTGTATTGAAGATTCTTCTTTTGGTTGCCTTTGGAAATCTAAAGACTCTTGTGCAAACACTGGAAAAAGCTTCAAAATTCGATACATATTTTGTGAGAAAACCTAACTTCTGTAAGGATGTGGTAAGTGAAAATTATTGGATAGAAGCAGGCTTTTATAGATAGAAGTATAGCTGATTTTTTTTCTTTCAGGCAGGAGGGGTTATGCATATATATATATATAGAGAGAGAGACTTTTATAGTCTTTTTTGCTGCATGTTGAAAGCACTATGAAATCTATTGCTAATTTATCTCTTGAGCTGTTTCTATAGCAGCTGAAATGTCACTCAAAATGCAGCTCAAAGGAATAAATTGGAAAGCATTTTATACCGGAATAAATGTACCCATGCTGTTGTGGATATCTCTGTTGTTTCTTCCACATCTTGGTGAAATTTTTTAGATTATTTGTACTACCATATACTTTATATGCTTTATATCAGCTGCAAGCATTAATAGAACACACCCCTATTCCTGATTTTATTAGCCCAAGGTAAATTACACTGTAAATAGTGAGAATCATTGCTCACTGAGTTTTTTTTATAAATAAATCAGAATCTGAAACAATTTGGCAATAATTATCTTGAAATAACCATTCATATAAACAGCCTCTTAACATATTGAAAGAGCTGGCTGAACTTGGTTATCTTTAGGAATATTTTTCTCATCTAATTAGTCTCTATTAACAAATATTTGGGGAAACGTCTGACAATGCACAAATTTAAAACCTCTCTAGCTTGTGGCTTGTAACTGAACAAGATAAGCCTTGATGCATAGTGCTGCAGATAAATGTAACTTTCGCAGGTGTGTACCTTCATAACAAATTGTTAGGAGGAATTGAATTAGGGCCTTTTTTCTGTACATTTGGTAAAAGTTTATCATGATTTGGCATAGAAAAGACAGTCCTATATTGATCATGGTTTGTTTGCTGTAATCTTACAGATAATTGCTGCCAGGGAAAAACTAGAACTCGATCCAGACCTCATTATTCAGTTTGAAGAAATTGTTACCAAGTTAAAAGTCTCAGGACAGATAAATGAACTGACTCTGGATGACCTGCTGTGTGAGGTCCCACATCCCAAAGGGTACAAAATGCAGCTGTTGAAAGAAACAAAACGGAGTCAACGGACTTTACAGCCTCTCCAGTCTTTTCTGCTAACTGATTGAGTGCACTTTCCCCATCAGGAATTCTGTCCTAGAATACACATGTCTTTCTTACAAGATTTTCATTTAGTGTGGGTTTTTTTGGAGGAATACTGATAATCACAAATTACATGAATGGTTTTGCTGGTATATTTCCAAGTAAATAATGCAAAAACCTAACATAACTGCATAATAGGCATTTTGCAGAAACAGTTTAAAAAATCTGCAGGGAAAATTAGAGTTTGCCACGCTCATGAAGGCTTTTCTTGATTTCATATTATCATGTTCATTGGTTTTTATTGGAAAGAAAGTGATATGGAGAAGATAGAAATGACTTTCCCTTGCTCTGTTCTGCTGAGCAATTCACTAAAGGGAAGAACCTCTGTTAGATAATGTTACATAGTGTTGAGCTAAAGCAGTGGTTCTCAACCTGTGGGTCGGGACCCCATTTGGGGTCAAATGACCATTTCACTGGGGTCACCAAACCACACTGTCCGCCATTTTTTTCCCTTTTCCCTAGCTGTCCTACTCCCTCTTATTGGTGGCCACACCCACTTGGGGGTCACCACAACATGGGGAACTGTATTATGGGGTCACGGCATTAGAAAGGTTGAGAACCACTGGGCTAAAGAGATGCAAGTTCAGGTCCGCACTTAGCCTCAAAGTTCACTGGGCTTTTGGGGGCTATTAACATACCACATTCACCCATGGTCACTTAAGCATGATTGTGTTAGTAACCAAATTAACTAGATTTATTCAATATGCCAAACTAACTACAGGAGCTAGATTTGTACAACTATTAAGTCAAAGTCAAATAAGGCCCATTTGGATTGAGTTCACCAAACTGGTCTGCTTAAATATAATTACTTTGTGAATTATTATTATTATGTTTTTATCCTACATTTATTTGTCTTTCTGTCTCAGTAGTGAACATACCTAACACTCCTGTCTATTATTTTCCCCTTGATAACCACCTTGTGAGGTAGATGGGACTGAGAGAGAGTGCCTGGCTCACAGACATCCATGTGTAAGAGAGGCTTACAATTCAATCTGCTGGTTTCTAGAGTAGCACCTTTACCGCCACAGATAGTCCTTAACTTACAAACACAATTGGAACCAAAATTTACATTATAAATTGATATGGTTGTAAAGTAAGTCATTGCATGACCGAATCCAATTTTAAAATCATTTTACCGCTCATTAAGTTGCTGTTAAATGAATAAATTGGGTGTTAAGCAAATCTGCCTTCACCAATTAACTTTGCTTGCCAATTAATCAATTAATTTTGCTTGTCAGAAGCCAGCTGGGAAGGTCACAAATCATGATCACATGAACACAAGACACTGCAACCATCGTAAATGCAAGCTGGTCGCTAAGTGCTCAAATTGTGATCACATGACCATGAGGGTGGTGTGGCATTCACAACTTTGAGGGTGGGTCTTAGGTTCACTTTTAGCAAGGCTGTCAGAGCTTCAAATTATCATTGAACAGTTATAAGTAAGTACTACCTGTATAGCAAACTCGCTCATGATATGGCAATATGCTGTAATACCTAATTTATATTGTTTATGGTTCATTGTGTAGTGGAACACAGACCCTTGGACTCATTCAGATAGCCATAACTTAATTTTGGTATGGGGCTTCATATGCTTTTTAGCAAACCTTTTGGAAACTTCTGATACAAAGATCTGTAGAAAACTTGGGAACCCCTTACAAAATGCCTATCCTCTCTGCTCTTCCCTCCACCTGTTCCTGAGCCTCCAATTTATAACAAATTCTTCCATAGTCCTGCCTGATTTCAATTTGTCTTGCTGACTTGGATTGAGAGTTCCTTATTTTTTTAGCATGTATACATTGTTATTTTCATCACGGTATGTTTACCAAAATTCAGAATTGCCTCAGTACTACTTAGGAAACTTTTCATAATATCTTAGTAAGGAGTCATTTTCTATGAAAAGGGATCCTTAATACTTGATGGAGCAAGAGCTGCAAAAGCTATGCTGACAGAATGGTAGATATAAATATGATGCAAAACATGGAAATATCCAGTGCTTTTTTTGTTTAAAAACAAAAAAAGGTTCTGGAACTCACACACGTCATATAACCCGCCTTGCCTACCCTACAAGGTTCCATCCAAAAAAGTGCCGGAACTCCGTTCTGGACATTCTATGATTAAAAAAAGCCCTGGAAATATCCAAGAAACTGAAATCCTAAGCACTCTGAGGTGGAAATAAGTATTGTTGAATTAAAAGTAGTTGGGGTCAGTCTGAACTGTATGTATAATGTCTGTATCAGACACAAATCAACAAGATTTTGTTAATTTCCTTTAAATAGATTAGTATATAGCAACAAAAACATTTCTAAGTACTATCTTCAAATAATGTTTTAAATGACTTTAGAAAAAGATAATGTAGGAACTGACTTTTTATTTTTAAATGTCTTGTCAAAACACTGAAACAGACAGTAGAGGGTGCAGTATTCATTATTTATAAAACTATCCATCTGATTTGAATGGTGAATGCAAATTATATTGGAGGCAATTTAAAAAATGTATACCTTTTGTGGTATACAATTAGTTAAATATAAAATAAGAAATACACTGAGTTATATACCTGGTTATATACATAATATGTATTATGTACATAATATGTTTAGAAATAAAACATGAAGGATACTCATAGGAGAAATGCAATAAATAAATAAGCTTTGCTTTGCCCTGTGCTCATCAAGCATCTGCCAGCTATTTATACTGCTTAGGATATCAATGTTTCACTAGGCTCTTCTTTTTTTCCAAGATAACAAAATTGTGACACTATTATACAAGAATGCAAAAATATACTCAAGTTATTTGTTTGTCCATTTAACTCAGGGGTGTCAAACTCAATTTTATTGAGGGCCGCATCAGCATTGTGGTTGCCCTTGGGGGGCCGGGTAGGTGTGGCCAGGGTGGGTGTGGCCTACTGGAGGGGCATGGATGGAGTGGGTGTGGCCTACTGGGGGGCATGGCCAGCTCTACATTGTTCGCATCAAGAGGGCCTGTGGGGGCCTGGGCAGGAGTGGGACATATCTGAGGGTCTCTGGCAGAAGGGGGTGGAACTGGGGCAAGCGCCAAGGCATGGTCCATTTCTTCATTCCTCACAAAGGGTGACACCTCCCCAGCATGCACCCAGGGGCAGGGCTGACACAACGGACTGGTTCCTCGATGTTTCTAGACAGCCTTGTGGAGCTAAGACTGAATGCGTTTCAGCATAGATGGCCACCACAAAATTGTACATTGGCTCCCAGCTGGCCAGGACCAAGGCAGCGGGGGCCATTCCCTCACTGTTTCCAGGATGGCTTCGCGGGCCACATGAAACCACTTTGCGGGCCGCATCCGGCCCCCGGGCCTTGTGATTGACATGTCTGATTTAACTTGTATACTTCTGAATCCTGTAGCAATCTTGATTGTTGTACAGATAGTCCTCAACTTACAATTGGTCACTTAGCTACTATTCAAAGTTACAACAGACTTCCCCAAAGCTACTTACTACCAAGTTTTGAAATTATGGTCACTTGCAAAAATTTTGGGTGGATTCACTATTTTGACCAACCACAGAGAAGCTGCAACAGTGTCCCCCTCACCTATTTCCCTCCATCCCATCTTACCTTGGGCCTGCTTTCCCACCCTACTATCTCCCTGCAGCCCTTGAGCCTGCTTCCCAACCCACAGAGTTGCATATCCTCCTCCCCACCCTCCATCACTGATCGTTCATTTACTTTCTGTACTTTACAGCCCCAGAGTTCACAATGAGAGCAGGCCATTCCACTCCTCGGCTTGCTTAGGTTGGATGGCTCCATCCAGGAAGTGGGCCCTATTTTTGGAGCAGCCACAATTCACAGAGCCATAGGCAAAGCAGCCTGCTCTCCTCTAATGCGAGCTCTGAAGATCTACAGAAGTTAAGTGAGAAATCGAGGGATGGGGAGGAGGGTATGGGTTGCCACTTACCTTTTGTAGAGCTCTGGAAAGGGGAAAGACAACTAGGCTGCTCCACCCTTCAGCATCCCTGCAGGCTACATGCCATGGTTTGGCAATTTGGCTTCTCCAAAAATGGTACCCTCATCCAGGACCATGCCACGCAACCTGCAGGGATGCCAAGCAGCAGAGTGGCCTACTATTCCCCAATATGAACTCCAGAGATCTACAAAAGGTGACCGGTGACGGGGGTAGGAGAGAATATGAGACCCAGAGAGGTGAGAAAGCAGGCCCAAGGTCTGCAGGGACCTTGAGGTTGAAAACGGGGGTGCTTCAGGGCCTTTGTATAGCTTAACACATTGTGCAAAGCAAGATAAGTGTAATGTATACTGTAAACCATGATTAAGCAAGCTATTGTTTAGTGTGTTGTATGATCCCACTGAGTTTTCAATCTGTATCCATAATCTTGAAATACCAATGTAAATAGTTTACAAAACTTACTATAGAGCTTTCAAGACTTCTTAGATACTGAATGTTGAGAAAGAACATACATGACTGCAAAATAACTAGTTTTCAGCTTGCCTCTTAATAGTGTCAAATAATAGTCTTTTTAAAGTAATAACAGAAATAGGTCTGCTTTGGCAGTAATTACCTCCAAAAGAGCATGCCTATTATTTCTTGGGACTTGAACCAACTATATAACTGTCTTGAATTACCTTGCAATGTGATAAGAAGCATTGGAGCATAATCTAAAAGCAGGATGGTAGAAAATAAACTAAGTTCTCGTATGACAACTCCCTGACTAATTTGCAAGAGCTCAGCAAAGATTCCCCAATTCCTAACAGTTGAGTAATATCAAGAACAAAAAGGGTTTTCCTTCGTCTTCTATTTTCATTTAAATTAAATGAAGTATCTGTCCTGTATGTACAGGCTTGAATGCACAGAGCTTCCCATTGCTGTGCTTGCCTTTGTCCATTAAGGCACATTTTATACATAGCCCTAGTAAATGGACCTGGTGATGCTAGTGAAAAGCAATGTAGTTCCATTGAGCCTAATAACAGGGCTGTTTCTGTCTTTTTTACATGATCTGTAATTGAATATAGCCTTTATGTTTATATGGTAGTCTCTTGTCCCTATTTTCATATTTTGTCACCTTGAACTTGTGGTTTTCACTCACAAAGTTCCTTTTTTTTTCATTTATTTCTTTTAGAAGTTCATTTCAAGTAAGAGAAGTTGACATCAGTAGTTGAAGGTAGTGTTTAAACTAAAGCTGGCAGAGAAGTCAGTATAGGCAAATAAAATTCATAAATATTGCTGATTGAATGTGCCCCCCATTCCCCCGAAATAGAACACCTTAAAAGAGACATTATTTTAATATTTATTTTAAAAACTGATTATTCAGTTTGAACCAAAGGATATTATAATAATTATACAATTATAGTAGTATTGTTCAGTTGCTTGTGTACAAAGCAGCAAAAGGTGATACCTCAGTGAGTTGTCCCATTTGTCTTTTGAATTTTTCTCCCCCTTTTACCATTTTGGGATGACGTTCACTCTTCTGTCGCATCTGTCATTTATGTGGGCAGACAAACCTACTGAGGCAACCCAATGGCTTGTATATTTGTTCATAATACTAGCCCAGTACTGGGAAGCTAAAACAACTACTTCCTAGCATTGTTTTTTTTTTAAAAAAAAACCCCAACTCTGCGTGTATGTTGTCATCAGGACTCAATCTTGACCCAAGAGCATTCTTTACTCATGTACAAATGGAAATGCTTTATTGGAAGACAAAAGAAAGGGTAGAGGTAAACTGAAAAACTTCTAAAAATCTGCAAATACATCCCTGGTTTATCCAGGCATGTCCACTTAAGGTTAAGAAATACCTTCTCTATTCAATACTAGCAAGTTGTTGTCAATCACTGGAGACAATACTGAAGTAGATCAATGATATGAAATAGATTCTTAGATTATTCTGCCATTGCATGTCAGTCTTCCCCAAATTGCAAGAGATAATGGATCAAATACAGGTAGTCCTCAACTTACAACGTTTAGTGACTGTTCAAAGTTACTACAGCACTGAAAAAAAGTGATTTATGACTGTTTTTCATACGACCTTTGCATCATCCTCATGGTCACATGATAAAAGTTCAAACACTTGGCAACTGACTCATATTTATAATGGTTGCAGTGTCCCAGGGTCACGTGATCACCTTTTGCAAACTTCTGCCAAGCAAAGTCAACGGGGAAGCCAGATTAACTTAACAACTGCAGTGATTCACTTAAAGGTCGCAAAAGTGAAAATTGTTTCACTTAGCAACAGAAATTTTGGGCTCAATTGTGGTCATAAGTAGATTGGAATTCTAAGAGCTGTCATCCAACATATTTGGATGGTTGGAAATGGTTGATTAAAGGAGTAGAGCAAATATATATAAACTTAACATAAACTTTTGCAGTTTTAAAAATAATTGCATTATAGGGAGGAAGAGAAATAAAGCAGCCCATTCTTTGGGAAGAATGCATTTATGTGTCAGACTTTGATAGTTCTCATTTCAGTATGTCCAAAAAAGAGAGAACTGGAATAGAAAAGACTGATGCCTGTATAAAATTCTCTCTGCGGTTAAACAGTTTCAGGAGAAATTTAGACCACAGAATCTGTTTTGTTGTAATTTTACTTACTTTTAGAGAGGAACCTGGATTAACAATGAAGATAGATTGTGGCTTTGAAGTCTCATGGGTTTTTCTGAAGATTGAAATAAGAATTATTCTTTTAATGTCAAAAAAGAAGGCAGAAGAATATTTTGTAAACCCATTTCTTGACAACAGTACAGATGTAGTTTAATATTGCCTTCTTCCAAGATTGGGGATAGGAGGAGTTTATTTTCTAGTCTAGTTTATAATCTTGGATGGGTTCCATCCAAATATTAACCAGCTCTTACATGCAGATCATCCAAGATTGGTTCGGTGCTGTTGCTGCTTAGACAAATAGGGAAAAGCTTAGACATGAGAATCTAAGCCTAACTAGTATTTTTGTTATAATTTTAATCGAATTTTTAAAAATTACAACTAAATGTTCTTAAAATGTGTTACATATTAATAACAGTAATGTATAATGAATGTGTATGCCTATACACACATTCATACTAATATTATAGTCTGAATCAATACCTTTTAGGATGAAAGCTTCTTCACTAAAAATTATGAGGTCATAATCTACCACACTGGTTCAGTACTATAGGTTGTCAGACAGATGTTTTTTGACTTCCCAGTGTAGGGCTGAGAGAGAAAGGCTGGCCCAAAGTCATCCAATCAGCTTCCATGCCTAAGAAAGAATAGAACCTAAGTCCTTCTCATTCCTATTATACCACACTGTCTCTCATAATTATTACATAACAGATTATGTTTAAAAATAAAACCTAAAGTTACTAAAAAAATGTAAAAGCCTCAAGCAAATAAATTGTTATTCTAAACAAAACAAAATGAAAAAGACAAAAAAAGGAAAGTAACATTTAAAATCCCATTAATTAAAAAACTAAATTATTCAAATATACAAATTGTATTACTATTATATTGTTATTCTGAAATTT